AAGTTTCAAGGCATGCTTGCAAAAACGCAAGCGCACACACAAAAAACACACAACAAACGCCCGCCGAATCAGAACCAGCATCGCTCTGCTCGTCGTCTTCGGTATCTTCCAGGAGCTCTGACTCCACCATTTGCCGTTCCGAGGGGATCTCCACGAAGCTGCTGGGGAGACCTCCCCGAAGGGCGCGCTGCAGGGCGGCCCACAAGACTCCTGGTCGGGGGTCGTCACGGGTCGTCACGGGTCGTCGCGGTGCTCCTTTTCGACGGACGATCAGTGCGCCATGGAAGCAGATGGCGAACGCAACCCTCCGGCTTGGAACCCTGCAAAGCATGTCGCCAAGCTGGAGCACTCCTAAAGCTGGAGCACCCAGCAAAATCCAAAGGAAGCAGGGCTGCGTGATCAGCGAGCGGAACCTCATCTGCCTCGACCCGACCCGTCGACGGACCCGTCGTGGGCGGACCTGGTCGTTGTGAGACCGATTGGAGCGCCAGACGGCGCTCAGAGTGGCGCAAGGACGGCTGGCAAGGTTTTTCCATCGAACACAGCCACCTGGTGAAGCCTTCGTTCCAAATACACTCAAACCATCTCAAAACCTGTCTCCACACGCGCGCGTGTGTGTCTTCACCTACAAAAAACACCCAACGCGCACACTGTCTCCCCGAGCAGCCGAGCAGCTGGCCGATGTAACTCTGGATCTCTGGCGGCCCGGACTTGTAGAAGGCGATGCCATCGTTGCTGCTGCCGAAGACGTTGGCGCCGTTCTCCACCAAGAGCTCCACCATGTCTTGCTCTCCTGGGACAGGGGGGCTATCATCATGCTCAGCTTATGGCTAAGTCACTCCCCTGTCCACTTTGCAAGCCAAATCCTCAAAAAAACGCCAACTTCATTCTTCACTTCTTCTTCGGTGTAACCGGCCGCTACGAAACTCCTTCATCCACTCTCCCCTTCCCACCTTGAATGGCCGCGTGAACCAAGGGCGGTCGGCCCGCGTAGTCCACGGCGTCCAGGTCTGCACCCTCTTGGATCAGGAGATCCGCCACTTCCAAGTGACCTGGAGAGGCCATCGCTGTTACCAAACCACGAAGAAAAGGTCTAGAGTCTCTACAATATCGTTTGCCATTAGGTTCCTAAATGTCCACCCATGACTGTATGACTAGCAGTCCATGACTAGCTAGCAGATGGCTAGCGGCTAGCTAGCACGCCTGCCAGTCATGCGTCACCACATCAAAGAACCTCTCTCTCTCTCCACTCGGTCGGTCCCAACCCACCCAGCGACGGAGTCCGACACGAAAGGAGTCACGTCCCAGCCGCGCCTTGCTCGGCCGCCTCCATCAAGGGGGTTCGGCCCATCTGCCCGCGGGCCTCCATCTCAGCTCCGTGTTGGAGAAGTAACTTGGCCACCTCCACATGGCCTCCGGAAAAGCCGGAGCCTTGAAAGCCTCTCTGATCTGCAGACCAGAGGGGTGCCGAATACAGACAGCAGTGGCAAAACATCCAACCTTTTCGGTCCAACTACCTGCCACCCTACAATTTCCCGTGCCTTCCTGTGCCGCGTCGGAGAGGGGCGTGGCCAGGAACTCATCCTTCGCATTCACCTCGCCAAGGCGGGGTGTGTCCAACCCACCCGGAGGGCTGAGCTCCTGAGTCGCGAAAAAGCTCCAGGTGCTAACCAATCAGCTTGAGTCATGCTATAGAATTGAATCACGCCACCCGATCACTCTCCTAAACTGTCACGATCCCCGTTTTTCGGTTCTTGCCCACCTATAAGAGTGCCATCTCCGCAGCTCCGAGCTACACCACCCCTGGCGGTGTTCCCCCCCCCGTCGCACGCGACGACGACGCGGGCGCCCCCCACGGTGGCGTTGGAGGCCAGGAGAAGCTTCGTCACCTCCACACGACCTGGAGCAGCCGGGGAAACCCCTGATTTTCAGGTGAACATGTCGCTTCTTGTTGGGAATGCCCTTGTTACAAGCCATGCACTTGTTTAGAACACGGGGAGGAACGTAGAGTTGTGACTTGATAAATGCTTCAAAAGATCGGTCATTGAGTTCTCCTCTTCATGTGGTGAGCCAAACACACATTCGACGGGTGGCCATCCAATGCATGTTCGCTCGCCTCGTCTGAATCGGTTAGTCCTTTGTTTGGCACCAGTGCAACGTGCCTCATGTGCTCTGAATTTGTCCTTTCGGGACGAAGCTTCACGACCGTGGTCCCGTCACGTCCGTGGTCCGCCTTTGAGCGCCGCCCACGCCAGGGGAGTCTTCAGAAATCGATCTTTCGCATTGACCGTTTGAGCGCCACCACGGGCCAGGAGCAACTTCACCACTTCCAAATCTCCTGGAAGCGAATTGGAACGTCGAATCGCGATGGCCTCCGATAGCGATGGCCTTCAACTTCAACCTACAGTAGTAGCTTCTCCTGGCAAGCCCAGATTTGGAAAAGGCAATTCACAAGTTCCATTTTCCAATGTCCCACATTGGCTCACTGGACTCCTTAAGCCTTAATCACTCGGGACACATGAGATGATCCGATCACACATCCCCAAACTCACTTTTTCGGGACCTCAAAAGAAGCCTCCAAACGACTCACTTGACTGACAGACAAGCAGTGCAGGTTGCTTTTTGGCCCATTCCGCTCTTATAGTCTTATCCCCTCACCACCCTAAGTGTGGGCCAAAACACCGCGAAGCCCCAACGCCGCTCCCCGTCGTCGCCTCCCTCCACCGCTTCATGCAGCAGCGTTCCCTGCAACTCTCCGCAGCGCACGGTGGCCACGTCGGCCGCCGGCAGCGCGGCCAACGTCTCCAGCGCCGCGGCGCCCAGCGTCGTCCGCCCCACGCGGGCGGCGCGGCACGCGGCGTCGGCCGCGACGGCGGTGAAGGCTGCCAGGCGCAGGAGCCGCGGGAGCCAGGTGCCGAGTGGAGGTGCCATGGCGAAGAAAAGGAAGAGATGGAGGGAGATGGAGGGAGGCTCGGGACGAGGCTCCAAGAGGGGAGGATGGGAAAAATTCAGGCAAAAACAGCCAGAGGAAAAGGCAAGTTCTCTTCCTTGGGAAAATTCAAGGCTACGGTGAAGTGACGTTCACCAATGAAAAACCACACCAGCGTTTCACAGCAAGGTAGTGCACCGTCACGGCGCTGCACCTCCCCGGAACACGGCGCAGCTTGTTCGCCGGAACGCGGGTCATGTGGTTCGGTCGAAGTGCCCGATCTCTGGCAGAGGAACTGAGTGTGGTTCAGAAGCCTCATAAAATCTCATCTGGTTCGGATGCCGCTGCGGGACCGTTTGCCATGAGAAGCAACAAGTGGACCGTCTGCCCAAGCACACATCTGGACCGCAAGCTTTGAACCACACCCTCAAGAATCCGCCAAATGCACGCTCAGCCAGTTGTGCTTGGCTCCTGGCATGGGGCCACGCATGGGCCTTCACTGAATGGTTTCAAGAGGGTGTTGACTAAGTGCTATGTCTGTTGGAACGTTGAGGCTGCAATAGGTGGAGGACGATGCCAACTGTGGAGCGTGTAAAGAAGAACATTACTTTCCATCGGTCGTTGTTCATGGGGCAATGCCTCAAGCAAAGCAGCAAGCAAAAAGGAATATATATATATATATCCCTATCTTCTAAAAATTGCTGAAGCCAGAACTCCCCTTCTGGGGCAGGGCATCGCTACTAGTAACAAGGGCATTACTACTAGTGGCAGGAAGATGCAAGAAGCTACTAGCAACAAGATGTAATGAGTCTAGTCTAGTCAAAAATTACCAACACCTTCATCGCTTGGAATCGCTTGGATGCCTTCTCGACAGGGAACATGGATGGATCAGTCATCACTCAAATTGCCGGTCAGCAGTAGTAGCAACCAGTAGGAACCATGGTCTTCCTATGCGCCAAGTGCTGCTTGTAGGTACTCTTGTAGGTCTCAAGACTCTAAGCGACTCTAGCTGTACACACCACGGTGCAATGCCTTTGCCCCAAAATCAAACACCACGTCCCATTTCCCGCTCCTTCAGGGCTGGCAGCTCCACGGGCCACGGCAGCTCGGTGGACGCCGCATGGACCTTCGTGGCTTTCACGTCCTCCGGGCTTCGATAGACCACCTCAGGACCCCACCCGAGACGAACCAAGCGCCGGCCGAGTGACATAGCGATCCACGCCGACCGGGCGCCCGGGCCATCGGGAAATACTCTGGGGCCTGTCCTTGGCTCCGTTTCCGTCAGGCGCGAGTTGAGACGGCTCGGCTCGGCTCGGGGGTCTTTCTCCACGTCCCGCAGCCCGGAAGACGGATCGACCAAACGGATCATGTGACGGGCCATTGAACGTCGAATTTCCACACTTCGGATCGGCCAAACGTTCAAACCGAGAGGCCATAGGGCGTGGTGGTCGTCATCCTATTCGCCACCTGTGCCGCGAAAACTGAGCGCACAAACAGATATACCCTATACCTGCGTACATCAGGCTTTTTTCCAATACGAGTTCTAGCATAGGAATTGGGTGAGGGGGTTTATGCGGGTTTGAGATCTGCAGCACAGGGATTTCCTTTCGTGGACTGAAGGGTTCTTGCGTTGCAAACGTGTGCCACTCTGCCTCGTGTGGCTCCAATAGATTCGCCCGAGCACACGAAGCACTCTTGTTGCCAAGAACCAACACAGCCAGCCCAAGACTGCTTCAACCATGAACCAAAAGCCAGACTAGGCCCCTATAGTCTTAAAAACGACAGTTAAAACGAAGAGTTCTCCGACACCAGGGTAGGTGTTGTCATGTGTTGTCTGCTTCCTCAGTAACTCCTCACCGAACTCTAAAGGCGAAGAACTGAGTTACTAGGGGTCTATCAAGCCAGCCCGGCGCCACACTTTTGGCACTACTTCGAGCTTTCGCCCTTAAAGGGCTCTTCGGGAAGGAACTTGTGCCATCAAACTGCGGCCATTGCGGTGCAAACATGTGACTTGACATCACATGAAGCACCCGTTTCACACTGCCAAGGAAAAAATTTTTAAGGAAAAAAATTAAAGGAAAAATTTTTTCCTTGCCTGCGCCCGCGTGGCCAAGGCAGTCTCGCCCTCGGCGGGCGGCAGCGGCGGCGACACGGGCGCGGTGACCATCTCGTCGGGGCGCGCGGAGACGCGGCTGAGGCCTCAGCCGACGAAACGTCGGACGTGTGGTGAACGGGGGGAACACGTGGGGTGGCCCTTGCCGTTGGGATTGGTAAACACCAAAGCACTGTGGGGTGGAACTTGGAACTGATGCTCGCACCCGCCAATCGACCGGAATTTAAAAAAAAGGACTTGGAGGTCCTACTGATTTCCATCATTCCGATCATCAAGGACGCTACTAGGAACAAGGACGCTACTGGTAGCTCCTGGCCCTACTACTCGTAACAAGAAGCTACTAGTAGCAAAGGGCATCGCTACTAGGAACAAG